GTCGGTTATTTATGTAGTTGTAACACTACATCCAAAAATCAAGTCTGACCTGTGTATGTGGCAGTTGCTATATGAATCTCAGATGTACAAGCATTCAGAAATCTGAAAGCCGAAACAGGAAAAAAAAAAAGCCTATTTCTGGCTATGTCAGTGTTTCTATATTGTACATGCCAACCTCAAGCTTGCACTTCTACCATTGTGAGCCAAGTAGGAAGGTACTCACTCTCTCCAAAATTCCAACTGATTTTACCTGCTGTTGTAAATTCAAGTTTTATGGCTAGTGGTAACCACTTTATTTTGTTCAGCAAATAATATTCTGAGTGTATTTTTTAAATAAGTGCCACTGTCTTGACTAAGTAAGAATCCAGAGATATGGAGAATGGCGTTCTGAAGTCTTGTTGCTGCTTTAATTAGTCTGTCTGCTGTGTTTGCATTTAGGGTTTGTATGCTTTGAATTTGTGGCTTTTCTGTTTTGCAAGAGTTACGGTCAGTGAAACATCTACCCAAAGAACTACTGCTATTAGTGGTGGCAGGACCAAATATATGTAGTGGCATGGTTTGTTTCTAAATCTCTGCTAGAGGTTTGGAGAAACCTTTTCCAGATGGACGTGGGCGATGTGACAATGGAAAGAAGAAAACACTGATGCATCGAAGTGAAAAATCAATAGCAAAGAACTTCCAGGGATTACATTTTTCTTTCTGTTCTTCCAGGATGTGGAAGTAAAGAGAATAGGCATAAATGGTGGGAAATTTCCATCAACTTGGAAAGTACAATAGAATAAATAATATTTCCTCACTAAGGTACAAGCCTAGGGAGTTGCAAGGTCAAAAGATCCTGTCCTATTTGTCTGTGGTGACAGCCTCTCTTGATCCCACAAGGAAGGCCTTACCCTAAACATTAGCCGTGTCCTTGGGAAGTACATGCAAATGTAATTTTTAAAAATCACATCATTTTAGAAGCATATCAATGGTTATGCTTTTCTGTATTTTCCAGATTTTCTTCAGTGGGAGTGTTTTCGTTTTATAATAAAAACATACAGAAATTTTTAAAGAATGTAAAAGAAGGAAATAAACTAGAAGTGTGGGAGTGAGTGAATCCTCAGCATTTAAAGTTCTCCTATAAGTTGGGACACTTCCTAATGTGTCTGCTCTCTAAATTTATAATTTTTTAAAGACTGGATGTTAACAGCACATTTCACAAATCAAAACCCCAAACTCCACTCTACAAAAGCACAGGCAGCCATCAGTTACACACATTTATTGGATTCTCATGCCAGGCCAAGCCCACCCAGTGTGTCCTGGTTCATCTTGTGTGCTCCTGACAGGTGAAGACTCTCATGTGCTCCTGCCTTCAGTTAGCATACTTGAATTTGGGATATGTTTTGCTCCTCAGCAGCCTGATTCTCAAAGATAATGTCATACACAACCCTAGGGCCCCTGTGTAGCTGCAGCCTGCGAGGACTATTGCTTTGCCTGAGTTTTAGTGTCTGGTTGGGTTGTTTGGGTTTTATGCCTGTATGTCTGGGTTGTTGGGGGAGGTTGAGGGAGTGGATTCTCAGTAAAGGGAAGGAGATAGCTTCCACAGTGCTGAAAATGGAAATAAGGAATTATCAGTTCAGGGTCAGTGTCAGCAACAGTGCCTGGTTTCCTTCTGTGCTCCTCGGGAGTGGTTTGTTTGGTTTTGAAAGGCCTAAACTCAAGCTAGAAAGTTGTTCTGGAGTGGGAACTTTTAACAGGGACATCAGAAATCCCGAGGGAATTTGCAGATGGACTTTGGGAAAGCTGTCTGTAAAGCTCCTTAAACTTCAAATAATGTTGCATGTATGAATATTTTTACAGAGACAAGAGTTTCTGGGTTAAATTATAACTAAGAGATTAAGAGAGCCATAATTTTAAAAAAGCTTAAGAACTAGTTCCAGGGAATAGCCATCAAGGTTGACTTGTGTTTCTTGGTCTTGGCCCTAGCTAGACACGTCCCCCTGATGGGGGACAGGTGTGTGAAACACCTTAATTGTACCCAGAGAAGCCCATACTGTAGGAAGATGAAAGAGGTCTCACTTGGAGTGCTGGAAACTAGAAACCTGAAATCTATACCCTGCAGTTTTGTGCTCAGCCTTCCTTCTCTCTCTCTCTCTCTCTCTCTCTCTCTCTCTCTCTCTCTCTCTCTCTCTTTCTCTCCCTCTCTCTCTCTCTTGTTCTTGAGCCTATACAGAGCACCCTTAACTCTATATTACCTGAAGATTTCACTGGGTGGAAAGAACACAGATACCTCTTTTACCTGGTTTTCCTCTGGGTTCTAAAAGAAGCAGGTTGATTTTCCCTGCAATGAGAAGTTAAATTGGACCCAAGTTTCCATGATGGTGATCAGGGCAGACATGTATAATGAATTCCCAACTGGCTATCTATCCTGTACTTAACATATACGCATTGATCATCCCCAGGGTCCCAACCTTGCTCCTTGTTTCTCCTCATGTTATTCTCTTAGTCACTCAATCCAAACTGTAGCTCCTCATGACCCTCTAGTCTACATCGGCAGCTCTCGTCTCTCTTCTCCTAGCTCTAGACCTGCTTATTTAACAGGCCATGTAGACATCTCAATGATTGTTGTACAGGTCTGTCAAACTCAGACCTAACATTGAACTCATCATATTCCTATCACCCCTCTACCATTCTTCCTTCTGGGATCCTTGCTTGATGAGTATTACAAAAACTGACCCAGTATTCCAATAGACTTTTTCATCTCTCTACCACACAGTGACTTTTTCAACGTACGTGAGCCCCAAAGAGACTTAATTGCCAATTCCTGATGATTTTGTATCCTAAATGGCTGTAGAAAAAATTCCTCCTCTCTATCTTGCATTGCTTGATCATCATAATTACTAGCTCATCATTTCACCCAATTTATCTTCCTCATGCTTCCAGAATGATCTTGCTAAAATCCAAATTGAGTAATGTTATTTCCCCCACTTAAATTGTTTAGTTGACTTCCATTGCTTTTATGACAAGATCTAACCTTCTTGGTCTGGGCTACGAGGTCCTGTCTGATCTGACTCCTTCTAGTCTTTCAAGCCTCCTGTCTTCCTACTGCCCTGCTCATTGCTTCATCAAATGGAATTACCAATAGTTTAGAAACAACATGCTTTTATTCATCTCCTAGGCTTTGCATGGGCATATTACATTTTAATGCAGTTTTTTTTGTTTTGAGTGGGAACCTTATAAAAACTTACAAATTTCCAACTCATGTACAAAACAGGCATCCTCAAGGCCATCCCTGTGCATCACCCATCCCTGCTCCTAACATCAGCCCTGAAATCTCAGAGCTTTGGTGAACTTAACCTTCATATCTGAGCCTCACCCTCCCTTCATACCATGTCTTACTCTTGTGTCCCTATCCTGCCTCATCTCTGATACACATTTAAGGGATTGGGGTCAATGATATGTGAGGTTCAGGTATGAGATTAGGCAGGGGCAAGGTCAGGGATGGATATAAGGATCAGGCATGTCTATTTCACACACTTAGGTAGCAAACAGTGGGTTTGCATGTTAATGTGTATCTCTAGAATTTCATGAGACTATGCCTAACAATAGGGAATGCTCAGTGAATGCTTAGTAAATGAAAGAAGAAATGAATGGGTGATGAACTCTAATAACCTGCAGAAGTTTCATGAGTACAAATGACCAAGAGTCCAACAGGACCTGTGAGGTCCTCCCATCTATATTCTGTGTATTTGAGATTGCATACCAACGTGGGTTCCTGTCCACATTTAAGATTCCTGTGTCAGCAGGTTACTCCAGAGGCACCTGCACACCCATGTTTATTGCAGCACTATTCACAATAGCCAAGTTATGGAAACAGCCAAGATGCCCCACCACTGACGAATGAATCAAGAAAATGTGGTATCTATACACAATGGAATTCTATGCAGCCATGAAGAAGAACGAAATGTTATCATTCGCTGGTAAATGGATGGAATTGGAGAACATCATTCTGAGTGAGGTTAGCCTGGCCCAAAAGACCAAAAATCGTATGTTCTCCCTCATATGTGGACATTAGATCAAGGGCAAACACAAGGGGATTGGTCTATGAGCACATGATAAAAGCGAGAGCACACAAGGGAGGGGTGAGGATAGGTAAGACACCTAAAAAACTAGCTAGCATTTGTTGCCCTAAACGCAGAGAAACTAAAGCAGATACCTTAAAGCAACTGAGGCCAATAGGAAAAGGGGAACAGGTACTAGAGAAAAGGTTAGATCAAAAAGAATTAACCTAGAAGGTAACACCCACGCACAGGAAATCAATGTGAGTCAACGCCCTGTATAGCAATCCTTTTCTCAACCAGCAAAAACCCTTGTTCCTTCCTATTATTGCTTATACTCTCTCTACAACAAAATTAGAGATAAGGGCAAAATAGTTTCTGCTGGGTATTGAGGTGGGGGTGAGAGGGAGGGGGCGGAGTGGGTGGTAAGGGAGGGGCAGGGGGGAGAAATGAACCAAGCATTGTATGCACATATGAATAATAAAACAATTAAAAAAAAGATTCCTGTTTCTGAAGATGTCTAAGCACGTCTTTAGCCCTCTTGGCCCCACCTGTCTCTGGGCTGATGTGGTGACTGACTCTGCTGTACTGAACCATGCAGCCATTTGAGGCTACTGCTTGTGGTCCTCCCACCCCTTTTGGGTTCAGATGAAGCACCATGTAGAAGGCTGTTGAATCTGGCTTCTCTACCTGCTGTTTTAGGAGCCAGAAGATGTAACAGCATATGAAGTAGAAGTGGAAGTGGTCACCCTGAAGTGAACTCTGAACAAAGGGCAACAACACCAGGTGCATTCCCTGTCCTAGTACTGCCCTCTCCACTGGAAGGTGTTGAGATGTAGTAGTCATTGACAGCCTCTCTGAGATGGCTAGGCTGTGGTTCTTGTGAAGCCACGGCCTGCTTAGTTCCCCCTCCTTCTTGAATTTACTTCTCCCCTCACTCTGGCTTTTCTCTGATTGCTATAGAGCCCTGGAAGAGAAATTTGGCTTTGAATTCTGCCACCACTTCCCTGGAGAGACAAAGACCAGTGAAAGGAGAACAGGCAGGAACACCACAGGTGGCAGTCTCCGGGATGAGGATTCAGCAGAGCTTAGCTGAGAGTAAGAAGCTTCATTCGTGCATTCCCTGTCCTTCCTCATCCGTGCACACTGAGTGGCACTGGCCGCCCTCAGTAACTGGGCAGCTGGGTACATTAATAGAAAAACATACATCACTTGGAACCTGTGTACTAGTCCCTGTGCAAACTGGCCATCTGTTTCATGAGTTCCTGTTTTAAAAATTCTTTCTAATTAAAAAAAAATATATATATATAGAGAGAGAGAGACAGAGAGAGAGATAGAGAAAGAGAGAGAAAGAAACAGAGATAGATATCTCTCTATATAAAACTTTAAAATGATGTAATGGAATAGTCATCAATATTCCATGGGATAGCCACAAAAATGAATATTATGAGATCTGTGATCTATTTTGGGTTTAAATTTTAGCTCCTCTGCTTTGCTACTTGTATGACCATGAGAAACATGGCCCATCCAAGCCACAGTTTCCTTAAGCTGGAAACTAAACAAGACTAGTACCTTATCTCACAGAGATATTAAATAGTACATAAGATAATGCATGTAATGCCCATATACTCTTTTTAAAGAACAATTTGAGAATGTTAGAGTGTTGACTCCTATATAAGTAGAAAATTAATTTAGGGTGAGATTTTTGTAGTCCTTAGAGGTTTTGTTGGGATTTCAAGAGGCATTTTCTTGGTATGGAAATTTTTTCTAGGGAAAGAAAATTCCAGACCCAGTTCTAATCATGCTCAAATAGGTAAGAAGTCATGAAAAATGGTTCTGTGGAAGCAGTATTTTTAAGTCTATTTTCCATCTTCTAGGTATTTTCAAGGTCTTCAAACAAATTTGTATGAAGCCCAAATTAATAAATTTGTGGACATAAAAGCAGAAAGGTTTTACAATTTTGCTATTCAGAGAAATTTGTGACCAATAAGATCCCAGGACTTAGCCTCTTGCCCCTCACCTCAGGGGGGGATTTCAGTTTATGCCAAGGAAATAGAAAAGTACCTGCCCTATAAAAGCATGTAATCAGGATTGACAATGTGTATGCTGGTAGTTTTTTTGCCTTCTTTTATAAAGCTGCATTGCGGGTCATTAAACTTTAAACTGTAATTATGGTTTATTATTAATTCCTTGCATTTGACCTTCCAGTTCAGCTGTGCTACTTCATTCCACAATGTTTGTTGCTTCCCTTTTGTATGACTAGCACTGAGCCCAGGAGTGCTGCAAGAGAGGGACTGGTCCATCCCTCATGGAGTTGGCCCTCCAGCAAACCTTCTCAAGAGTCTCTAGTGACCATCCAGACCCCTTTGTGTGTTTCTGTGGGCTTTACTAGAGAAGTTTCCCTACTTCTGGAAAATTCTCTCTTGCCTCCAGGACCTCTTAAAGGACTCTGGTTTTTCTCTATTTCTCTAACTGCCTCCTATCTCTCAAGATGCCCTTTTTCCTTTCCATGTCCCCATCTCATGCTCCAGAAGTCACCTACCTCTTTGTCTCTTCTTACTTCCCATAATGTTAACATATTTGTTCACATACCAAATATGGTATGAACATGAGTGACTCTGAAATATCACTTTTTACCCCTGATTTTTCTCCGGGTGCCAAGTCTACATTTACTATAACCACCGTTCTGTTTTATAGTCCTTTTCATCTCAATGTATCCTGCAGAAAACTTATTTCTCACCCCCACCTCCAATTAATTGCAGTCCTTACCAGGCCACTACTAATTTCCTTAGGATATGTACTGGAACTTTCTCTGCCCTCAAATCAGCCACTAATGACACTATCATTCTCCTTCTCACCCAAGCATATTGCTATTTCCTATCACTGTTGTGCCCTTTATTCTGTTGCATGAAGAATAATCCAATGATTCCTGTTGACATAGGTATTTTCTCTACTTTCACCTTCTCCTGAACATCCAACATTCCTCTGCTTTTTCTCACTTGTGAATGTGATATAAACCTGGGGTGTGTGCTTAGCAGGGCTGCCAACTGCACATCTGCAGGCAGCATTCAGATAAGAGAGCATGGTTTGTGTTGTGCCCTAGATAGCTGTGACCAGCGTTCCCTGGAGCTGGGCAACAAGAGATGGAGAGGTGATAAGGCTCGAGGGGCAGGGACACAGGTGAGGAGCAAGTTTCATTTCTACAAATGAAAGGCAAATGGGGAAATGTTTTTTTTCCTTCTGTCATGTACCTGGGGGAATGAAGCTCTGTGTTTTTCTAGACAAGTCTACCTTGGGCTACCTTCATTGGAGGACCAGGCACTAAGCTTGAAATTTGTGGCATGGAGTTATATTTTCCTCTCTTCCTTATTGGTCTTGGTGTAGAAAGTGCTGGCAGGAGCTTCTGAAGTGAAATCCATGTTCTTAAAGTGATGCTGATAAGTTAGAGTCCCACACTCTTATGTCACCATGGACTTCTTTGGATATGACTTCCATATGGCATTGAAGTTGGTGATCCCTCTGGTCACACTGCTGCCCCTATTGACTGAAGTGGATACACTAGCACTGCTACACCTTGGCCAATGACTGTAGCTGCAGTGTCCCCTGTTCATGTGCCTTCGAGCACTCCTGCAGGCAGGTTGCCCCTCAGCTGCACAGACTGTGTAGTACACGCTGCATGGGCACTGCTCACATAAGTGACCCTGTGAATGGGGCCTCAAGTTCTCCAGCATGGTATCTCTGCTTCCCGTACCTTCTCCCACTGTTTATTTTCAGGCCAACTAGTGTCTCACATCAGGCTGGCCTGCTGTTTCCTGTCTCAGACCAAAGCTCACACCACTACTTCCTTTCCCCCCAAATTTCTAAGGTCTCCCCCTTCCTTCCACTTTTACTTCCTCAGTGCCATCACCACAAGCGTGAAATCAGCAAGCTCTCTCTCTTTACCAAGCTAACTACTGTGCACATCCCTTATTAGCAGAAATAGCAGTGGTGCTAGAGACGCCTGACTGTGACTGTGCACAGTTAAACTCCCCATGCTAAAGGCCTTACATGCAGTATCTCTTTTCATCTTACAGGAATCCCTAAGGTAGTTCTCTCAAATGACAATCGGGCTTAAAGATACCCCATGATTATGGTTAACAATGGAGGAACTTGGCCTGCAGCCTGAAGAGCTTGTGCTCAGAATGAGAGAATGCTGTGCATCCTCCTAAGATTCGGGTTGGATACAGAGTCTTCTGTGGATCTTCCCTGGGCTCCCCACACCTGAGACCTTTGGTCAGTTTTCATAGAAACCTGCATTGTTGTTCAAGGTCAAGGCCTGACTGACAGAGGTGTGGAGAGAGACCTGTGTTCTTTGCTTTTTCTGAGGCTTCCAGTATATTAAAAAAACTGCAGCCAGGTGCTGGTATCTCACACTTGGAATCCTAGCTATTTGGGAGGCTGAGATCAGGAAGATCATGGTTCTAGGCCAGCCTGGGCAAATAGTTTGCAAGAGCCCTTCTCCTGTGTTTACTGGTGTCTGTGGCAGCACTTTTTTTTTTCAGCTCTGGGATTCATGGAGTCTAATAGAGAAAAGCCCTATTTCAAGCTGTTCTGTTTCCAAGAAACCTGGTTTACAGTGGTGTAGACCTCTGGCTCCTGCATACGCCTGTACTGAAGAGTGGGACACAGAAGCACACCCTCACTGGGGTGCCCTGGTGTTTTCTGAGCAAATTGACCCTGAGGGTCCTAGACCTTGAATGGAACTCCATAGGACTGCATCCATACTGCTCCAGGCATGTGAAGACATCTGGCCACTTCTCCCTAAATAAACATATCCATTCTGTATAACAGTGATTTCTCAATTTGTCTCTCCAGCCCAGAGCTCCAAACTTTCATATTCAAGTCCCTAGTAGACATTTCTCTTTGGATGTCTAATAAACATCTTAGGTATATCATATTTAAAAAGAAATGCTAAGCTGGGCAAAGGTGGCGCACATCTGTGATCCCAGCTTTTGGGAGGCTAAGGCAAGAGGATCATGAGTTTGAGGCCAGCCTGAGTTATATAGCAAGACCCTGTCTCAAAAAGAAAGGAGAGGGAGAGAGACAAACACTGAGACTTAGGACTTAGCTCACCTCAGCCCCAGTCAGTGGAACTATCACCCATGCAGTCCTTAAGCAGAATCCCATGAGTCACGTCACTTTCTCACCTTTGAATTGTGTCCCATATGGTATCCATAGGTAAGTCCTATAGGCTCTGCTTCCACAATATATCTCACACAACATCCCTTTCTCTCCATCTCCATTGCCTCATCCAGATTACAGCCACCATTAACTTTTTTCCCCTATAGAGGACCTAAACTACTTCATTCTCAATGTGTCTACTATTTTAAGTTAAAATAGTAAGAGATTTTTTTTAATGTTTTAAAGGTCACAAAACAATCATATTTCCCTTTGATTATGAAGATTGAATTATATATATATAGTTTCAGCTTGTATAGTCATTTAAAACTTAAAAAATTTGTGTTAAAATACACATAACATAAAATTTACCACCTTAACTCTTTTTATGAGCACAGCTCGATGCCATTCTATACTTTAACATTGCTGTACAATCAGTGCCACATCCAACCCCAGAACCCTTTTCATCTTACAAAACTGAAAGTGTAAGTTTTAAACACCAGCTTTCTATTCCTCCCCACCACAATCATCATTTTGTTTTCTTTCTCTATAATTTGACTTGTCTAGTTACCTCTTATCAGTGGAATCACACAGTATTTAAACATTTGAGACTGGCTTATATGCAGTAGTATCCTCCTGGTTCATCCATGGTGTAGCATGTGTCAGAATGTCTTTCCTTTTTAAGGTTGAATAACATTCCATTACATGTACATACCTTGTTTTATTTGCCTGTTCATCAATCAATGGGTGCTTGGGTTGTTTCAAGACACTATCCTCTTTTGTCCAAATTATTGCAGCAGCCTTCTAACTCCATCACTCCCCTTCTAATCTCTTTAGCACTCAGCTTATGAACAGGCAAATTAAATTTCATTACTCTGCTATAAAATCCTTCAGTGACTTCTCATTTTTCTTATAATAAAAATTAAACACCCTAATCTGACTAGTCCCTGTGCTTCTGAAAACAAATGATTTTAACCACCTCACCTCATGGGTCTGTCCTCCTGGTCTGCTCTTCCCAAGCCAAGTGTGTTCTTGTGTCTGTTTTTCCCATCTCCAACTCTGTGTCTCTGCTTCCCTCTACCCAAATACTCTTCACTGGTGTTTGTCATGCTAGGCTTCTTCTCATCTTGGAGGCACTACTTATATGTAACCTTTTCAGAGAGCTTCTCATATCCTCTGTATATAAGATCCCTTATTCTTGTCTTAACTCTAAGTCATTGAAGTTATTTTATTTGTTTATATTGACTTGTTTCATGCCTGTTTCCCCTGTTGGGTGTAAGCCCCTTGAAGGTGGCAAGATCTATACCTACCTAATTGACTTCTGTATCTCAAATATCTAACTGGTACTTATAACTATTTACTGGAAGAATTAATAAATTTCCTATTTATGAAAAGAGTATCAGGCTGACCAAGTGATTCATGTAGTAGAGTGCCTGCCTAGCAAGCATCAGGCCCTGAGTTCAAACCTCAGTGCTGCCAAAAAAAGAAAAGGAAAGAATATCTGAGAGAATTTTACCATTTATTCTACATCTTTCTTTCCTTTTTGCTCACCTTCCTCTCATTCCATCTCCAGTTCATGCCAAAATAGACCCATTGGCCTGATTTGATCAGTTCTGTTTCAGGAAACCTTAGAATGTCTGTTGACCTCCTGATATACAAAGAGAAATTACCCCAAATTGTTCCTTAACTGCTACACTAAAAATGATCACCCTCCTCCAGTCTTGTCTCATGTCTCTCAAAAGGCAAGCTAATTTTTCTGTGGCCTAAATAAGCAAGGAGAAAAAGAAAAGAAATTTAACCTTCTGGGGAAAGAATACTCTGTATTTCAAAACGTGGCATTGCATTTTTTGCATTTTTCACTGTTCTTTCTTATCTTTGATTTACTCCCTATTATGGAGAATGGCTGGCATTATTTGAGGCTCAGTCCCTTATCATACCAAGAAATTATTTAAAGAAGGCTATGTTCTCGAGATTTTGATCTCTAAAGTAAATTCTCCCCTCCCTATATTTTACCTTTGTACTCTCTTTTTCTTTACTATTTTATTGAAAAAGTCAGAATTTTCCTTGATTCACAGTTTAGTTTTATGATGCTGCATAATATGTTGCCACATACGGATGTTGGAAAGAAAGAGCATGCACTTCCTACCTCCCTGCTCCTGAGGTCTCAGTCTGGCTCAGGGCAGGGTTCTCAGCTCAGCATGCCACACACAGGCACAGAGGTGTTCTCAGTGGTGCCCTCCATGCCTAGTAGAATTCAGTGAATACTGAATACCTGGTGAAGTGACTATCCTCAGTCCAATAGGAGGCTGGAAAAACAGGAAGGAAAGAAGAAATGTGTATTGACTTAAATCAATAATGATTAGTCCTCAGTGCTGGATGGGGAGGGGAAATGGATTTGGGGACTCAGCTGATACTGTGACACCTGTTTTCTGCAAGGCAGATTGTGATGTAGTGTAGAGTGCAGAGATTAAAGTATGGGGATTTGTGACCCTGTTGTGATTTGCTTGTGACTTTGAACTAGTCATAACCTCTCTGAGCCAGTCCCTTCATATATCGAGTGAGCAAAATACCTGTTTTAGTTATCTCAGAATTACTACAGAAAAAAATTAGAGGCTAGGGGTATAACTCCATTGTAGAGAGCTCGCCTACCATGTGTAAGGCCTTGAGTTCAGTCTCTAACACCACAAAACAAAACAAAAAAGAAGATTGAAGAACACATAAATTGAAGTAATCCTTGAAGTTCTTTGCATTCCAGAGCCATAGACTACTTGTGATTTTTGGAAACTATTTGATATAAAACAGGACTGTATTTCATTGTTCCTCATTGTATGTGTGTGTGTGTATAGTTTACAATATTTTTATCTCCAAAATTAGATGCATTTTATAATCTGTGGCATCTTAACTTCAACAAAATATAGCAGTAATATTTTGTTAAACTTTTTGGAATGCCTTAGGGTTATGCTCAGAAAATATGGTTACCATTGGGACCCAGAAGACTCCTGCAGGTTTCTAGGAAACGAACTGTCTCATGTTGGAACATCAATAGTGATAGACTATAAACTATAGAAGAGAAGAAATTGTGCACACCAACTCCCTACTTTCATATGGGCAAAACAGTAGTATGCTCACCCTAAAAACGTGAACTGAGATAAGCCAAGATGAATTTCCAAGATGGAGTAAGCCAGTACTGTGTGAGCATTCATGGAACTGGAAAGTGTTCTGCAAATTTGAAAGCTTGACTTCCTATCAGGGTCGTTCATTGATTGACATGCCATTGGGGTGCCTTGGGGTGTCATTCAAGGAATGTACCAGAGACAAAGGCAAGGTCTAACCTGTTTTTCCAGCCAAGTGTGACTTTGCTCTTTGACTGGGAATGTGGGATCATGAAATTATTAGGTAGCACAGTCATAAGGATTGCTGATTTTGAAGAAAAATCATACAATAGAATATTTTGTAATTATAACCTTGGGATATACATACGCATGCACATATGTATGAATGTATTATGTACTTATGTGCACACATAGACATATCTATGCACACAAATAATGTGAATTTAGAAAGAGAAAGAACACCTGGGGGAAGGGAAGTATGGTATGTGTGACTGAAAAAGAGAAGGAGTTACGGAGTATTGTGAATATAGATACTGACATAGTCGAAATGTGGTATTTGTTCCTTTTGGAGTTCTTTCTCAGATTTGAGGCTGAGGCGCTCATTTGTTTCCTAGTTTCCATTAGAAATTGGAAGAAGGCCCAGTGCTGGTGGCTCACATCTATAATCCTAGCTACTTAGGAGGCAGAGATCAGGAAGATCACAGTTTGAAGCTAATCTGGGCAAATAGTTTGTGAGATCCTATCTCGAAAAAAAAATCACAAAAAAGGGCTGGTAGAGTGGCTCAAGCAGTAGAGCACCTGCCTAGCAAATGTGAGGCCTGAGTTCAAATCCCAGTACTGCAAAAATCAGAAAAGAGACTGGAAGAAGGGTGGTCAAACTCATGTTCTTTTTTTGTTGTTGTTGTTTGCTTGCTTTGGTTTTTGTTTTTTCAAAAGAATGAGACATTTAAATGAAAGGGAAAAAAAGTTGAAGTACAAAGAGAAACAACGAAGACCATTCAACCCCATTTCTCTTTCAGGGTTATTAAAGGGTGTGTGTGTGTGTGTGTACTCCAGTGAACTTTAGTCAGGTTCTATTAATGAGTACTCTGTTCTCTCATAAAGGAAAAGAATGTGGAAGAAGTATAGGGAAGAGATGGAAGAGATACTTAATCTGATTTAGGTCTTTCTCATGGAGTAATGGGGCCTTCCAGGCTTCTGTTTATTCTAAGAATTTATGAAGCAGGCAGAATGGTTGTGTCAGCTTCCCAAGTAAATGTCTGTAGTTCCTATAGCCTACTATGACAGAAATCTCAGGGTATAATACCATGATGGATATGATCTTGTGTTATTTTATTGTGTACAGCTCTGAGAACATAGTAGCAGCTCAATGTATTAATGGGCTATCTTGCTTTAGAAGAAAACGCTAAAGAAATACTTAGAATCCACATGGTTTTGTTTTTCCCAATTTTCCTTTCTTTCTAGTTTTTCCTTTGACCTTTAGATCCTTGTTTTTGGTGAGGAAAAAAAACTGAGGCATGACTTGAGGTTTAGAATTGGTACCAAGATCTAGTTTAAGATGTTTCTGCATAAACCCTAGGCAGAGGGCTGGGTAGTGTTTGCCAGGGACCTCACACCCTGCACATGGACAGGAAGACAACTTCAAAGAAGCTGCCTAGCTGAATACATATTAAAAAGCAGATAAAAGGGGAAGACGACCAAATTTAAAACTTCTTTTGGATCACTAACCAGGCAAGAATAATGTTTTGTATTCGATAGTGTAGCTAACCTAATAAAACAAAACATTGTCCAAACTCTAGTGGGACAGGATTAATCCATATGGCTGTATGAAATGCTCCTTTAAGTTTCATGGTTTATAAAAGTGAATAAAACTTCTAATTAATTTCAGGACATCAGTATGAAGTTGCCTTTATTTAGATTGTCTGAACTGGTCTCTTTTTAAAAAAGGGAACACAGTCAGAAAGGATTGTTTTAGGGGAGGACTTCCCAATTCTGGCTCTAACTGATAATAAACTGGCCTTTCTGCAGTAAATAGCCACAAAATGGCAACATGTTTGAGGCAACTGTTCAGGCTTTGATCAACAGGTAGCATGAGATTTCCATCCTGGGGAAGGAACTCAGGAGGTGAATCCTATCAACAAATACCTGGGCTCTCTTCCATGGAAGAGTTTTTTGACTACAGTGTGATCAGTTGGGATCTAAGCTGAGCACAGCAGTATTGCTGAGCTGAGAAAATAGAGATTAAAGGTTGGCGCAATTGAAGCAGCTGGAATCTGCAGGATAAGGCATGTCTTTTTCTGTTTGGCATTGCTCTAACAAAATGTCTTATGCTAGGTAATGTATAAAGAAGAGGAATATTTGGCTCATGATTCTGGTTGCTGGAGGATCCAAACTGGCAGAGGTCCCCTGGCTGTGTCACAACACAACAGAGTAACAGAAAGGGAACCAGCTGTGTGCAGAGGGGGACCAATGCATAGGATAGCCTTATTTGATAATAACCTCTTGTGAAATGGCATTAATTTATTCATGAGGGTGAAGCCCCTATGACCTAATTACCCTCCACTGGGCTCCACCTCTTAAAGGTGCCACTACCTCATCACCACCACTCTGGGGACCAAGCTTCCAGCACATGAACCTTTGAGAGACAAACTATAACAGGACATTGAAGGGGAGAGAGTTGTGTGGGGATAGAGAGAGAGAAGCAGAGTGTATTCAGATAATCTTTGGTGGGGCTGGACTGCACATCTATAGACTGAAGACATATAAAGCTTCCTAAAGATGGCTGCTGCAGGATTGAGATGGGGACAGGTATACCGGAAGTCAGACAGTACTGAGGGACGTCAGTGGTTCATCTCAGTCACTGTACAAAGATCTTGTTAACACCTTATTAACATCTTAAGCAGCCAGCCAAGATACAGAAAGTCTGTGTCCTGGGGTAAGGATCATGCTCTCAAAACAGGCTTTGTATAATTACTCGGCTGTGCAAATCCAAAACAGCTATAGACAATATGTAAACTAATGGGCATGGCTACATGCCAATGCTAACTTTATTTGCAAAAAGTCAGAGGGGTAGACCGAGGCCAGGGCTGTAGTTTGCCATCCACTGCCCTAGAGTTAGGCTTACTTCAAACCCACATAACAAAACCTAGATGTTCAGAGTTTGGAAGTTGAGTCCTGTGGCAATTAGAGAGACTTGCGCAAAAAATTATTCAATAAAGTGAGCTATCAGCCCTGCACAGCTCAAAGTGAGCAACCAGCAGTCAACCACCTGCTATAACAAAAATCAACACTTTGCAGAGGAAAATCAAATCTAGAATGCCTTCATTATATCATCCACAATTGTTAGATGTACAAAGAAATAGAAAAATGTTATCTATAGTCAATGAAAAAAAGTAGTCAAGAAACCCTAATCCTACATGGTCCAAATGTTGACCTTACCAGACAAAGCCTTTAAAGCATTAGTTTAAATATGTTCAAAGAACTAAATATTGCCCCAATGAGTGAATATAAAGGTCCTGTCAGCAGAGAAATAGTAATCATAAAAGAAATGAAAATTTTAGATAGAAAAGTTGAATAAAATGGAAAGTCACATGATGAGTTTAAAGGACAATGGAAATGACAGAAGAATCAGTGAAATTGAGGATAGATAAACAAAAGACATGCAGCAAGGGGCAGAAAATCAAATTTGGAGAACTAGTGACTGAATCTTTCCAAATTCAATAAAAAAATTGACATATAGACTCAAAAGTCTCCACAAACCTTAAGATGAGTTCTAGAAAACCACTGGACATACCAGATTTAATTGTTGAAAACTGAAGATAAAAATCTTGAAAGCAGTTGTAGAAAATTGATACATTTATATACATGGAGAGTTATAAACAACTTCTCATTAGGAACATTCAAACAAAGCAAAATATTGAAGGGAAAATTCCACATCTAGTGAAAAATTGCCTTTAAAAACAAGGACGAAATAAAGAATGCATTGCTTTAGAGTAATGTTGTCCAATGAAAATGTAGTATGAACTACACATGTATTATTTTACATTTTTAGCAGTTCTGTTTAAAAAATAAAAAGTGGGTGAAATTAATTTTAACAATATATTTTACTTAGACCAACATACTCACAATATCATTTCAAAATATAATCAAAAATTATTTATTAGGTATTTTACATATTTTTTGAAATCTGGCATATATTTTATACTTAAAGAACAACTCAATTTGGACTAGCCACATTCCAGTTGTCCCTGTGTCTAGTGGCTACTGTATTGGAATTGAATCGTGTAATTTTAGGTCAGTGAGAAAGGGGAGTAAACATATTGCCCTATATCCAGATCTTCTCCAAAACTATCCATTTATTTATTTGTTTGTTTATTTATTGACAGTAATGGTGTTTAAATCAGGGCCTCATGCTTGCTACAAAGGCACTCTACCACTTGAGCTATACCCCCAGCTTTTCTAGTTTTAGTTAATTTTTAGACAGGGTCTAATGTTTTTGCCCAGGACCAACCTTGGACTGTAATCGAATCCTTCTATCTGTACCTCCCATGTGGCTTCGATTGCAGACATGTACCATCATTCCTAGCTTATTGATTGAGATGAAATTCTTGCCAACTTTTTGCCTGGGCTGTCTTCAAACCTTAGTCATCCCAATCTCTGCCTCCCAAGTAGCTGTGATTACAGGTGTACACCATCACACCTGGGCCTCCAAAACTAAAATAAGCCTTCCTACATTTGGCATCCATCTCAGAAGACCTAGTGAGCCTACCTACTGTATGTTAAAACATGTTCATTCAGTCATTTCCTCATTAAGTATTTACTAAATGCTAGGTCATATACTAAGAGTTAGAGATACCAACAAGAAAAAGATGCAGTTCCTTTCCTCAGGGAGCTCACGGCGTCCTTGGCATGTCAGCCACATTAGTAAACATTTTCATGATTCTTTGATATATGATCACAGGTTGTGATAATATCAGCTTACAGAGTGAATGGGAAATGGGATTTGTAGAAGTTAAGGAAAGGTACTATATATCAGAGTTCTTAGATGCAGATACTAATTTAAGAAGAAAAGTAATGTATTAAAAGATATTGGAGAGCTCATTGGACTGGCAGATGACCGTCAAACTTGGCTTGAAAAATAGGTAGGAACCACAGGACCTAGCAAGCAGTGAACAGAGCCAGAGTCTCACTATCAGTCTGGTTAGGATGCTAAATTGGTACCATCATCACTGAATTAGAATGTTACTGCCCTGGGCTCGCACCACATTTCCATTGCCTGCATGCTACTCTTGCATGCATTCAAGGCTCTTGCACTGTTTAATGACATCTTAAGATTCTAACATCCATTCACAAAGTGTGGGTCAGGAGGGATGGGAAGATGGCCTTTTTTTCCCTCTCAAAAAAGGAAGGGCTTTTCAATATTGAGTAGCAAAAAAATAGCAAACATGCCTATTATAAAGATTTTGCAGCAAAATAATCTTTTCCTAACTTTGGATTCAGTGATTGCCATTTATGTGTAAATGCTTGTTGAATTAAACCTGAGCTAATGATGAGTTAAGGCTTAAGGATCATGAAATAAAAATGTAGGGAAATTGGGGCTGGAGGTGTGGCTCAAGCAGTAGGGTACCTGCCTAGTAAGTGCAAAGCTCTGATTTCAAATGCTGGTACTGTCCCCCACCCCCCAAAAAATGTAGGAGAATTTTCTCCCAAAAGGAACATTTAATAGCATTTAAATAGATAAATATGAACAAATAATTGAATAGAACAAAGCATATGCAAAAACAGTCTTTCAGAGAAAATAATCCAGTTTAATAGGATCATAGGGTTCCCATGGGAAGATAGTGGCAGATGAGATTAGAGAGGAAGATGGGGTAGAACTATGAAGTGCCTGCACTGATATAGCAGCATTGACTGACCTCCTAACATGACCAGGTACTGTGCTCAATGCTAAGAGCTGGCAGCAAAACTGTTCATTTCTCATTTCTCACTTTATTCTTTGAGGAGCGTTGTGGTGTTTTAATGCAGAACCCTAGGATGGCCGTTTTCAAATTTAGGAAGACCACTCTAACATGATAGGTTGGATAACAAGCTGAAGGGGGTGATGCTGGATATAGACTAGAAATGGGTAAGACAATGAGGCATCAGCAGTGAGAAAGAAGAGAGTAGTTTCTCATTCTGAGATGTGAATAGTCACTGCTCCACCCTGTCCTTTTCCAGTGTGCTCAATACTAGTCCCGCCTCTTCAGATAAATAGTGTAACTCACTGTGGCTAGCCATGCATTCCTATACCCCTTCCTAAATGCCTCCCCCATCCCCACTTCTTCTCAGAGACCTCTTTTCCAGTGTAAGGTGTAGCTCAAGCCCCCAGTAGTCTCTGGGCACTCTTATTCTGCTGTTGTATATGGAAAACCTATCAGAACAGGCTAGGGAAGACAGGTTATTGTTTTATGTTGCTATCATACTTCCCAGAAATTGACTGTAAGTAGGTTCCTTAAAGTAAGTGATGCTGTGTTGTTCTTCCTTGCACCCAAAGACTCTAAAATTCTGTATGCTCACAGAGAACCCCTAGTACACATTCCCCATGATGCCATACCCTGCTTTATGGAATACACCAGCGGTCCCATCACAGCTAATCTCTTCCACCATCAAACTCCTGCTCAGCAGCCTGATCAACATTAATCTAAGCACACTTTTTTTTTTTTTTGGTGATATTGGGATTTGAACTCAGTGCTTCATGCTTGCTAGGCAAGTACTGTACTACTTGGGTTATGCCCTCAGCCCATTTTGCTTCAATTTGTTTTTCATATAGAGTCTCACACTTTTGTCTGGGCTGGCCTTAAGCCTGGATCCTCTTACCTCCACCTCCTGATAACAGACATGAGGCATCATGCTCAGCCTAGGCATTCTTCTTGAGTCACTCTTTACTCTTAAACCTTTAGAAGCTTCTTACTTCCCACTTAAGTGCCATCAATCCCACTCCCCTCTCTATGTCCCCAGTAAGTGCCTCTCTGTTCTTATCAGACTAACCCAGAAAGAAGCTTTACTGAGATCTGATTATTAATCACCACTCATGCTAATTCTGTCCCAAAGACATCTTTACTCTTCCTGTCCAGCAGTTGAGTACCATCCTTCAAATCCAAGAAACCTGCTCCGTCCCTATGGTTCTAGCCCTCAAGGATCAACCTATAGCTAAACTGTCACGGCCTTCAGCAGTCACTCATTCTGCACTTGCATTTGCTCTTTTGTCTGTTGTCATCTCCCCAACTAGACTGAGAGCTGCTTGAGGGTTTCTATCACAAAGGACACCTGGTACCTTTCCAGACATATAGAGCTCACCAATGAGTACAAGAGGATGGACATAATACAGATTGATTTCTGTGACTCTTATTAGCCAGTCGTACTTTCCACTTCCAAGCTTTATGGTATAAGGGATGCTGAGAAAGAATTACTTCTCTGCAGTGACATCCCAAAGACTTCAGTGAAATGTCTGGTGTTTTCTGGTTAGTGTTGCTGCTGATTCTGAGTCACTACTCATTTGTGGAGACTGTAAGCCTCACATTATGATTCACATTCTAAAAATGGGGTGAAGTTTTTACTGAGGAACTAATTCCAGTCTGAACATAGTCTAACCATTATTGGGTCTCTGTGAGTTTTGTGCTGCTCGCATAGCACTTCTCAAGGTCTAGTGTCTTATGGTTTCTTGGCCATAGTGATTCCACAGCAAAAGCCTAGAATGCATTTCACAGGGCTGTGATGGAGGGTTTCCTGTAGCAAATGTTCCACCAGCCTTTCTTGGGACTACTCATTTTCTATAACTAGCTCATATCTGATCTGGGATGGGCAGGCTAAGGAAGGGTAAGTAAATTTTCAGGCAACTTTTTGAGCAATGGTCTTGGTTTCTTAGCTAGAATATGTATCTGTGTATAAAGAAAAAGTTTCAGAACTAGCCTTCAGGGCCCTGTAACTGAGTGCTTGACTCCACTTAGAATCTAGGAGAGCTGCTCTAACAATGACTGAAAAAAGAAATCACTAAATCCAGAATGTGTAAGTGATAGAAATGGGTGACTTTATGAAACCTGTGCTCTAGTCCTAAGACTTCCACTAACAAGCTGTGCAACTGGGGTGAGGCATTTAACAGCAGCAACAGTGATATGTGATGCTGATGTTTATAAAGGTTTTGAAATGGGGCCTGTTACAGAGTAAGCTTTCTGTAAGGTCACCTGCTATTATTGTCACTATTATGGAGCACTTATTACACCCAGTACTAAGCTCTGACATATATTACCTCATCTAATCCTTAAAATTATGAAGTGAGTTTTGTTATTCTTGCTACATAGGGGTGAACAGAGATTTAAAGAAGGTGAGTTATGAGTTCAAGATTATACAGGACTCAAATCTGCACACCTGACTTCTCAGCCCATGTACTCCATCTCTCTTATTAAGCTTGATTTCCTGTGCCTCAGTTTTCTCACCATTAAACTTGGGAGCTGCACTACTGATCTTTAAAACTCCCTAATTCTAAATGTTCTGTTTTTCCCTGTTACCTTCATCTTTTCCTTCTCTTTATCCCTTCCTCCCTCCCCACCCCACTTATCCATGGATTTTGCTGAGTTCATCATCACGGGATCAGCAGGATGTTCTCCCCATTGAGTGGTGAGCTTGCATGTGTCAGCACGTGACCTTGCATTGTGGCTTTCTTTTGGAGAGGGTTGGGTAGAGGATGTGGGTTTACATGCTTCTGCTATTGTGAGCAGAGTCTGACTCTTCAGTTTTGCTGTCTTATCTTGGCCTGCAGCCATTACCACATTGAGTGACACTGATGTTTGATGAGGCTTGAGAAAGGGTTCCTAGGCAGAAACTTGTGGGAATTGGCTGTTTGACTGTGTGGGCCATGTGTTGCTGCCTGGTAAGATCTGCTTTAGGACATCTGCATATTCTCTAGGCTGTTTGAACATGTCCAGCCCCAGGGCTGGTAAGGATCTTAGGAGAGGTGTTTGGAAGGGAGATTTCTGGGTTTTCTGTTCTCTGTACACCTTGGGTAGTATGGCAGATATTCCACATGGGGAGTTCCTCAGGAAATTTCATTATAGTTCCATTGCAATTGATGTTTGTATGAAGTATGTTAGTTGGGTGACAGCCCATATATATATTCTGTAGTACTGTTTTGTGACTATGTCCTAAACATCAGAGTGGTTTGGCATTAGAAGACCTCAGTTCAGGAATTAGATCTATCAATTCATAACATGGTGTATCGAAAATATCTGCTTGTATTGTGGGATAAAGAGTCAGTGTATTCCTGTCCTGAGGTTTATGAATTCTCCCACTTACAAGTATGGAGGAAGCATTTTAGGAATCCTAAGGCACCAAATAATCTTAGGGCACCATTTAATGTTTGGATAAGTCACTTAATTTCTCTTCACCCAGATTTTTTCTGACTTATACTACTATCTGCTCTACTCAACTAAAATGAGTATTGAATCATATGAAGTATGGTATGTAAATATATTTCTGAAAATCATTAATTTTATGTATACATTTATTGTTTTTAAGAAGTTTAAAACAAAACTAAATGTTTTAATCACCAAAAAAGGTGAAAACTAATGTTTCTATTCTGATTTTCCCCAGTATAATTTACTAAAGATAATAACCTATAGTAAAATATCTTAACTTTTCTTGATATTGTATGCCAATATCTAGAAATTATCTGAATATTGGGAGCATTCAGTTAATAAGAACTGGTACTGGTCAAGGCAGCACATTAATTTTGCATTAATTCTGATCATTTTAACTCATCCTGAGATCAAGAGCTGGTTCAAGCTGTAAAAAGACATTAGTAGCATAAACAAAACTATAAGTCAATTAAGTATTCTTCTGTCTACATAGAACATAAATGCAATATAACTAAAGGCTTGACATTTAAATACTAATTCAAATGGGCTTAGATTGAAAATGTGTTTTTTCAACTCACATTTTTCACTAAGGCAAATATTCTTTATCCTCTTACTCTAGACTCCATTTCTGTTTTTTCTTGATTTGTAAACCCCCCATGCTTAGAGATGCCATCTGGAGATTGTTGGATATCTGCCAAAAATTTAAATCAGACTCACAAAAAAAGTTACTTGCCCAAGGCAAGAAACTGCTCTGAATTAATAGTAAAGAACATAGTTTTATTTCACCATCTGGTAAAAGAAATTGAAACACTTTGAGAAGTTTTTGTATTTGCTTTAGAGTGTGAGTGATAGCATTATATCATAGATAACAATATTTCTAAAACATAGTGATTGGGGAAATTAGGGAATCTAATTGCTAAGATTGGGGTGGTGAATTACAAGTATGATATGCAGGTTTATCTAGAGATCCTGAAGTTAATGGCAATTGTTTCAGTATAAAAAGTGGAGGTAAGCCAGGAGCAGAAGGAAGTAAGGCAAGTTGGAAGCGGCCTCAAACCTCCTCTTAGGCAGTGCTAAAAGCCCTTGACCTGTGTGGATTTGGTATAAAAAGTGATCATCTTTAATTCTTTTTAAACAGATTTCTGCTTGGCAGATGATGCAAAGGCAGGAAGAGCTAATCTGCCTACGTTCTGAGTATTGCCCTTGGCAAGACCCCTGAAACAGACGGTAGGCACAAGTCTACTGTACTGCCATACACCCCATCTACCCCAGACACTATTCTGGAGTCCACCTGAGGTCAGCAGTGTGAAGATGACCAGAACCTTCTTTTTAGCATGACGACCTTGGATCATGTGATTGCTACCCATCAGTCAGAGTGGGTCTCCTTCAATGAAGAGCCACTCTTTCCTGTCCCCTCTGAGGGTAAGGAGTGTTTCATTTCCTAAAGTGACAAGACTGGCTAAGAACCATGCCTGTCTATTGTGGCTTGTACTTGATCATTCTTTGAGTGGGATCTTAATAAGGGGTGGGGAGGGTACCAATTCAGTCACTTTTTTGAGATGCATGAATTCTTCCACTTAGAAACCTAGAAAAGCATCTTAGTAACCCAAAGGCCCTTAAGAAGGTTTTAGAAACACCAAAGGTATAAGGTCTTTTCTATACCTTTATAACTCTTACCTATAACTTCCTACTTAAAATTACTTTACTGTCAGCCTTTTTTGGTGGTTACTCCCACAAGCAGTTGGATTTCCTCAGTTTTTAAGTATAGTTGTTAAAAGTGACAGACAGGTTCTGAGCCAGATTGCTGAAGCTCAAATCCTTGCATCATCACAGATGAGTGGTATGCTCTTGGGAAAATTATTTATTTAACTCTCTGTGCATAGCTTCATTATCTGTATAAGAGGGACAGTCACAGTGCCTAACTTAGGAGTTTCTGTGAGGATTTAGTGAATTAACATATGTCAATTCCTTAGTACAATGCCTGGGTCATGGAAAAAGCTTTGATCACAGTGAGGGTGACCAGAGACTAGTGATCAAGACAGGATCAGGGATATTTGCTGAACCTTGCCAGTTGGTTCTGTTCTCCTGCAGCACTCCAGTGCCAATTGAGATCATCCCATCTCCATTTACCACTCCTAGAAAGTGTGAGTCTACAGATGTGCCATCCAAGGTGGTATCCATGTGGCTATTGAGCCCTTTAAACATGGCAAATCTGAGCAGAGATGTGCTGAAAGTACCTACTTTGAATTTCAAAGATCTAGTAAAAGATTAAATAGCTCATTAACAATTTTATATTGATTACCTATTGAAATTATAAATTTTCAACATACTGGGTGGAAATACATATTATTAAAAATAATATGTATGTTCTTGGGTTGGGTTGGAGATATGTCTCATTGCTAAGTACATGTTTTATATGCTTAAGTGTTCAATCCCCAGCACCACCAAAAACAACAAAAAAAAGCTTGTCCTGTTTCTTTTTTAAATGTGGCAACTGGAAAATTGAAGCTTATATATGTGGCTCACCTTTTATTCCTATTAGATACTGATAAAGGTTTTGGTTACATGTCAAACCAATATGTTAGGCTAGGGACAGGAGAAAGACTTTTCATAATTAGTAGTTTTGCTTTTAAAACTTTGTCATATAGTAAAATTGGCATTACTTGGTATACAGTTGATGAATTTTAACACATATACAGATTTTTATATCTTGTTTTATTTTCAAAAAAACTTTTGGAAGGTTATTAAGTATTCCAGAACCAATAAAGTAGTAAGAGCCTCAGTGTCACATTCAGCTGGTGATTTGTTCATGGTTTGCACCTGGAACCTGCAGATGTGATGTTTGGACTGCGCAAAGCTTGAAATTTGAATTGGAATGTCTTTAATGCAGAGTGAAGCTCTGTTGTTCAGCCACAGTCTCTGCCACTCCCTGTTGCATCTCATTTGTGTCACTCAACTCAGGTGTAGTTCTTGCTTGACTTCTATGGCATTTTAATTTGTGAACAAAACCTCTTAAACTGACTGGGGACAAATAAAGATTATGGTTTTTATGCATTATTAGGGGGATAATCCTTTAACATAGGAACACATTGTCATAGCTGTTTTGTCTCCCCTACCCACTGTAATGGTGAATCCTATAGTCACCCTTGCTCATCTTTAGTTTTTGCCTCTGTGGGACAGTTCTACTGAGTGTCCTTCCTCATGCAATGGTGGTATCTGGTATCTGTTGCAGGGGCCACTGAAGAACACTTCCCAGGACTCTTATCTTCTTCAGACCAGTCTGAGAGCTCCTCTGGGGAGAACAATGTGGTGGATGGAGGCTCTCAGGACCTTTCCCATTCTGAGCAGGATGACTCTTCTGAAAAGATGGGTCTCATCTCTGAAGCAGCCTCCCCTCCTGGGAGCCCTGAGCAGCCTCCTGACCTGGCTTTGGCCATCAGCAACTGGGTTCAATTTGAAGATGACGCAACCTGGGCTAGCACCTCACCACCTCATAAGGAAACAGGTGAGACAGGCAGAAGGCTAGGAAGAGTTCTGATTTGGTACATGCTCAGCAGGCTGCTTTTCCATGCCAGGGTTAATTTTACCTATGTCAGAATCCTGAAACAGCAGAGAAGAGAGCAGAGAGATTACACCTGGTTTCATTTGATGGGTAGTTTTTATTGACAGAGCACACAAAAGAACATATGTGTGGACATAAGGGACATTTTCAACTTGTTATTAGTGTCCCTGGCTGTTGACTTGTCTGGAAGAATACATATATTCTTACTAGGAATTGGAATTGTATTTATGTGGGCCTAATGAATGTCTCTTAAAGTGTGGATCACTGATCATTTCTCATAGAGACCTCAGAAGAATAGTTAAACATGGACATCATTAAATCTGAGACCTCTGGAATCTGAATCTTCAGGGTTGTAATTGGTAAAGCTCTTCTTTTATGGCATTTTAATGGTCAGAAGCTGCACTGGGGACCTCTGAGAAACTTGAAGTTGTTAGTCCCACCCTGGCCACTTGTGTTATGCACTGAAACACAAAAGGGTGACTGGATAACCTTTGGGACTGTGTTATTTTTGAACTTGCTGCTGCAACAAATTACCCCAAACTTAGTGGCTTAAAGAACATGAGTTTATCATCTGACAATTCTGTATTTCAGTAGTCCATCATGGGTGTCACTGGACTAAAATCAAAGTGTTGGCAGGGCTGCATACCTTTCTGGGGGATATACAGGAGACTCTGTTTCCTAGTTCTTTACAGCTTCTGGAGGCTGCCCACATTCTTTGACCTGTGACCCCTTCCTCTGCCTCCAAATCCAGGAATATAGCATCTACCTGTGCCTTTCTTCTGAAGTGACACCTTTTCCTAACTTCTGCCTCCCTCTTCCACGTTAAAGACTCATGATTATATTGGGCCCATGAGGATAATTTCTCTGTCTCAAGGTCCTTAACATAATCACGTACACAGCCATATAGGGTAACACATTTGTAGGTTCTAAAGATTAGAATATGGACCTCTGCTGGGGAGGCACTGTGCTGTCTACCACAAAGAACTATTAGCAGAAAAACAGAGTTTTCTGTTGGTGAGTGAAATGTTTTACCGGTCTTGTTTTTAAAAAATTATTCCAAAGCCAAGTGCAGTGGTGTATGCCAATAGCTACTGAAGACTTTGAGCTGGAGGATCACTTGAGCTCAGGAGTTTTAGACCAGCCTGGAAACATAGTAAGACTCCACCTCAATGGTAAAAACAAAAGGAAGAAAAAAAATACTGTTGTTAAGCACATTTTGACATAAATAAAAATGCTTTTTAAAATATAAGACACAATTCTACCATGAACAAATGTTTTCATTTTTTTACAGAATATTTTGCATATTTATGTGTACTTTTTGATATTTAAGATTCAGATGTTCAGTGAATTCTTGATGACTGAGTCACTAAAGTCACATGGGTAATGTGACAGGTCCAGACAAGTTTCCAGTGTGGCTGGAGAGGGCAAAAATTTCCTTTACTGAACACCTAACATAATGGCACTGGGATAAGCATTTATATATGCAGGAAAAGCCCTGAACACTGGTGCTATCATTTGAATATTTTGTCTCTGCAAAATTCATGTTGAAATCTAATCATCAGTGTGCTGGTATTAACAATGGGGTCTTTGGGCTGTGACTAGCTCATGAGAATGGAGCCTTTTTGAATGGGATTAGTGCCTTTATAAAAGAGACTAGAGGGAACTTGCCTCCCTAATGTGAAGACACAGCTTTTATTCCTCTTTCATGTGAGGACACAGCTAGAAGCCGCTGTCTATAAGCAGTGGGGCCTTACCAGACACTGACTCTTCTGGTGCCATGATATTGAACTTCCCAGGCTCCAGAACTGTAAGCAATAAAGTATTTATAAATCACCCAGTCTAAGGTATTTTCTTAAGTTAAGCCAAAGTTTAATGTGCTTTTTGGGGGGATGTTAGCTTGAAAAAAAACTTGGTTTAAATGTTTTTGTAATTAAAAATCAATTTAAAATTAGTTTTAAAAAATCAGAATAGTGCAAAAAAATATCCTTGGTGAGCAAGTATCAGTATTTTAAAGACAAGGTCCAACTAACATGCCTCTACCACACTCAACTCCAACTGGCCCCAATTCCAATAAAACTTCATGTACAAAAATAGGTGGTTAAACTGATGCCCATCATTTGCTGATTTGATTTGACATTTTTAAAATATTACATTAAAGTATTGACAACTGAGTTTTTTGATGCCCCTTAAATTTTGCACCCAAGGCAATATATCACTTGCTTTACCCAAATACAAAGATAATTGTTCTAAAGATAAGAGACTCATTGACATTGTTAGAAAGCAAGTCAAGAAGTGACACCATTCAAATATATGAAAGGATAGTTTGACTTGAATGTTGATCAGACATTAATAATCCTATTGGCCTCCACATATGAAAATTTCACTCAGCCCTATGAAGAGGGAGCTCTATGCCTTAGCAGGAGTCTGAGGGATGATTTCCCAGCCATCTTGATGCCTGATGAGTAAGCAAGAAGCTGGAATAAACCACAAGGACAGAACCAGCTTCTGTTCAGGCAGTGTTTCTAACCTAGGAACTGAAGAACCATGAATAACTTTGCAGAGCATTAGGGTGGTTTAAAAAAGAAAAAAAAAAAAAGGTTGTGAGGTAAGTAAGAAATACAAAGGCCAAATCCCAAATCTGCCAATACCCAACTTGACTCATCAATGGATCTACTAAAGAAAGGGATGCAGGGTGCATTCTTATTAGCCAAACTAACCTCTCTTACATAGGCTAATTCCCTGGGTTTCTTCCCTTGGGCTGTGCTTAACAATAAGGAAGCATGGTTGGTAGTGCTAAAATCGAATGATAAGCAGGAGAAATTGGCCTTTAGCCTTCTCAGCATGGCTAATATAGGCATTCCTCAAGTTAGGTAGTTGTTCTGTTCTGCAGGTTGTTGGGAAGCTTGGATTTTAATTTGATTCCAAAACATTTGGATCCATGTGCTGTGTTAATAATACCACATATGTAACTGCAGGTATTAACCCAGATTTGTACAGCAGGTTTCCTCATTATAGGAGGCATTGTAGGTTTCTTGCATTCATTGCTGCCTTCTCTTCTCTTTTCTTTTTGGTAATACTAAGTGCTGTGGCTTAGTAGGATGAATGATGGCACCCAAAGACATCAGATCCTATTCCCTGCTGTAAATGTTATCTTATTTTGAGAAGGGGCCCTTGCAGAGGCCATTCAGCTGGAGATTTTGAGATGGGCAGATAGTCCTGGGTTATCAGTGTGTGCCCTAAATACAGTCGTGTGCATCCTCACAAAAGAGTAGCAGAGGAAGATTTTGCCCACTGAGAGAGGACAACATGAGGATGGAACAGAAATATTTGGAGATGCTGGCCTTAAATATTAGAGTGATGAAGCCACAGCCAAAGAATGCCTACACCCTCTAGAAGCCAGAAGAGGCAAGGAAGAGACTCCCCTCCAGTCTCCAGGGAGGGAGTGTGGACCTACTAGCATCCTGACTTCAGCACAGGGATTATGATTTCAGACTTCTGGCCTTAGAAACTTGAGAGAATAAATCACTGTCATTTTAAGCTATCAAGTTTGTGGTAATATGTTGCAGCAGTTACAGGAAAATAGTGCACGAAGTCTCTAAGTTCTTAAAATGGAACCACTTGAATAAGGCCAAGAATGCCAGGGAGCATCTGTAATAGAGCAAGCCATTTGTTAAGCAGATGTGTGCTACGTACTATGCTTTATATCCAAACCTCTCAGCAATTTATAATTTATTCATTGAACCGCCAAGTTTTCTTTTTCTTTTCTTTTCTTTTTTTTTATGGTAGTGGGGATTGAACTCAGGGCCTGCTGAACCATTTGAACCAGTCTCCAGTCCTTTTGCTTTTCAGCTAGGGGTCTCTCACTTTTGCACCGGCTGATCTTGAGCTATGATCCTCTTGCCTCCACCTCCTGAGTTGCTGAGATTACAGGTGGGAACTCTGACACTGGCCTGAGTCACCAAATTTTATTAAGCACTTCTCTGCAGTTCTATTAGGTGTGGCTATTCAAAGACATACTATAGTGCTCAGAATTTTTGTTTGTTTGTTTTTGGCAGTTCAATTGCGGTTTGAACTCAGGCTAGAAAGGTGCTCTACCATTTGAGCCACACACACCACTCCTTTTTACTTTAGTTATTTTTTTGGATAGGGTCTCATTTTTTTGCCTGGGGCTAGCCTGGGACAGGGCTAGCCCCTGTCCCTATGTCCTGCCTATGTCCTTCTGCCTATGCCTCCCTTATAGCTGGGACCACGGATGTACTCCACCACACCTGACTCATCAATTGAGATAGGGGTCTCACTAACTTTTTGCCCACGCTAGCCTCGAATAGGAATTTTCTCAATCTCTGCTTCCTGAATATATGGAATTACAGCCTTGAACCACTGCATCTGGCCTCAAGTACTCAGAATTTAATAGAAAACCATTCAGTTTCTTCTTGGGTCCTCCAAGCAGAGCTAACTTGGGCCCTTGTGATTTCCCCCATCCGTGTCCAGTTGTCAACTGCATGTCTTTCAACTACTGCATGTCTTTTTGTTGTTAACTGTTCATGTTTTCCATTTTGTAGTAGCTGAGTTTGGAACTGGCTCTGAGGAAGCAAAGGAAGAAGTAGGAGAATTATGTACCTGAGAGCTTCATTTTATAGCCAGATCTTCCTGTTGTCTCTTTCAGTAAAGGATTAAATCAGAATTCAAAGCACCCTCTCCTTTAGTTATCAGTTACTTTTAGGGCTTTGCCATAGCTCTTAACTCAGTTTTACCCTGGGCCAGTGGTGCCTACTTGGAAAAATTTTACAACAAAGTAGCCAATTAATATAAAATAAGTGGCCATCTAGTGCTTTTTAGTCTAATATAATAACATAGAAATGATTTGCTCATCAGTTTGTCACTTTTCCACTCTAAAAATGCTTTTGTTCATTACTTTTTGTCAGTCAGATCTTGGATCTATA